GTGTGCCCAGCCTTAGGCTTAGTGACCCTTTAAGTGCTGCAAAACAAAAAAGTTACATTGTGCAGAGAAAGCTGTTAAGCAATTACTAAGCAGGTTATATGTCACTAAATAGATTGCACTAAAACACCTTCAAAGTTCAGTAAACCCATCTTCATTTATATTTCATTATCTGGAAACTCCTGTGTAACATAAATTGACTCACAGCTAGTCAAGGGCTGCTTGTTGTCAGCTGTTCTCCTGAGGGGGAATTAATTTCACTGTTCCTCTTACAACCGAGTATCAGCAGGATTCTTCTAACTTTGGTTGAAGGGACCTCGTAGTTTACTAAATAATAACACCACTAAGGAATTTAACACGCTCATACATGAAGCAATTATCTGTCAAGTTAAAGAGCAACTCCCAGCAATAAGTCAATCAGTGGGTTACCGCTGCTACCTAGAAAACACTGTCATTATGCTACAATTAGAATGCCCAAACTGCAGTAAAAAAGCAATTAATTTAATTTTACCAGTTTTACGTGTTGAGGTAGGGTGCTGTACTGTGTTAGCCATCAATCAGTGCAGAAAGTTTGGGTGATACCCTTATCGACTTACTTAACCACTTGAAGACCCGGGTGTTAAACCCCCTTCCCACCCAGGTAATTTTTCAGTATTCAGCACTGTGATACTTTGACTGACATTTATTCAGTCATGTAAAGCTGTACTGAAATTAATTTTATATACCGTATTTTTCGCTCCATAAGACACACTTTTTTCCCCCCATTGTGTGAGAGCTGAGGCGGCGGGGCTGACAGTGTACCCAGGGGTGTGGAATCCCTATCGCCCAATGCCCGGGCGGCGGGCGAGTAGGTTTTTTGTACATTTAGCCCTGCTCCGGACAAGCAGAGCTAAATGTATAGAGTGGAGCCGCCGCTCGTTTTCATACAAGTGATCTGATTAGATCACTTGTATGAAAGGAGCAGCGGTGATCCTGTCCGCCCCCCCTCCCCATGGTTTTGGGGGTCACCTGCTCCTCTGGGGGACCCGTGACCACGGCATAGGAGCTCACCATAGAGCCCGTACAGTAGCCGAAGAACATCCGTTCTTTGTCTGCTCTGAGTGATCACTGAGACCGTGACGCTGTAATCACAGTGCCACCTGTCTCAGCTGTCAGGAACTACACAGAACCCTACCCTCCCTAGGTGTGTCTTGTGGTCAGGTGCGTGTTATGAAGCACAAGATACAGTAATTTTTTGGGCACAGATAGAGCTTCTTTTTTTTGTGGTATTTAATCAACACTGCGTTTTTTTTTTATTTTTCACTATATAAAGAACAAAGTACAGAAAACCTTGAAAAAAAGTTTTCCCTACATTATACTATGAAACAATTATTATTACCCAATTTTTTTGGTAAAATATAAAAGATCACGTTGGGTAAATAGACACCAAACATGACAAGCCCTAAAATTGCGCATGCCCATTAACATGGGGAAAAAAACGACCATACCCAAAATTGCCCATAGGTGACGCTAAGAAGCCCTATATACATTCATTTAGAGTTGGTCCTCCTTTGTGGCTGTAACAACCTCCACTCCTCTCAGAAGACTTTCCACAAGGTCCTGGAGTGTGCCTGTGGGAATCTGTACTCATTTAGCCACATAAGGATCTGTGAAGTTAGCTACTGACGTTAGATGAGAGGAGATGAGATGAGAGCTGGTAAATGGCATTCCAGTTTATACCAAAGGTGATCGGCTGGGTTGAAGGCTCTATGCAGGCCACTCAAGTTCCTTCACATCAAACCATCAGAGTTATTCCCACAAGGGTGAAGAGTTTGGAGAAAGAGGAGAAGTGAACAATCTAGGCCAAAATAGCTGATTTGGAAAAATTCTCCAATTCAGCTCACTTTCCAGTTCAGATATGTTGGCCTAGATTGTTCACTTCTCCTGCCTTCTCCAAACTCTTCACCCTTTTGTGAAAAACCCTGCAGTCTTTATTGAGCTGCACAGGGGCACAGTCATGCTGGAACATGGTCCCCAAACTGTTGTCTCAATGTTGGAAGCACACAGTTGTCTAAAATGTCTTTGTTAGCTGTAACATTAACACAGTGGCGGAGCTAAGGAACAAAGGGCCCTGGTGCAAGATTATTTTTTTGGGCCCCCCCCAAAAAAATAAACCCCACAAACACGGCGCTCTCCTTCCGCAGCGCTTGGCCGGCTGTCACTTTCTCTCCTCCCCGCTGGGAGACGGAGCAGCGTCCAGCGGGGAAAAAAGAAAGCACGGATGCACCGCTGTATCAGCAGAAAAATGGCACTTTCGGCATTATGCCAAAAGTGCCATTTTCGGCCAATATTTTTTGGCGAACAGTACGCTTCACTGGACACACCAGAACTCAATGACTTGGAGGGTTGTCTTAAATCAAGGATTGTACAATCATACTGAATTATATTTGGCCTGCTTAAGGTCCATACTAAAAAAAAATCAGTCGGTTGTGAAAATGAACTGTCAGTCAAGAGAAGACATAAGTACCGAATTTTTGTTTTTATATTTTGAGACCAACTGTAATAAATTGTATTGTTTGCATTATTCGCTGCTGGAGATTACTCAGAATTCACTATGAATAATAATTAACTATAAATAAAAGCAGCAATAGATTCTGTGCTTGCATCGGTGGTTCTCTGTGTTTACAAACTGTTTACGGCTTTTCGCGTCCTTGAGAAGGGAGACAGGGACGGCAGTCAGTGAAAAAGTGGTCAAGATACTAGAGTTCATAAATTTTCTTGAGCGTCGTTGGGATGAGTTCAAAGAATTACCATGTAAGAAAGCCTTACAGAGGGAATTTATCTGATTATAGCAGTAATAATTACCCAGCTGTTTATTGCAGATAGAGAAATAATTCATGCAGGCAATAGGCCGTGGTGGCAATGACACTCTGCATTTAGTAAATATGCAAACCGTTCACTTCTAATTAAGCGAGCAAGAGGATGCCCTTATTAAATGGATAAACTAAAAGTGCCTCCCTGACAAATGATGAATTGTTATGCCGCACAAACTCTTGCTACAGAATTATTGGCATGAACTTGGGGTTTAACTTCATTAAGAGATCTTATGGGATAGTTAAATGAGGATGGACAGCAGAACAATGCCTTTCTGACAGCCAATAATATGTCTGAGTTTAATGAAACTGCACCAAATTTGACTAGCTTCGAGGATGCTGGTGTGACTTTCTGTTCAGAAATATGCAACCTCAACCAGCAGAAGGTGGACCATGTGGATGATTTTATTACAGAATAAGAAAATGGGTACACAGGTAACTGCAGGAGTATACTTTTCCTGCTCTGTGTATAGCAATGAGATTGTCACGTCATTTTAGTGTTGGCGCCATCCCTTAAAGTGACACTAAACACAGGAGTTAAATCCTAAAAATGCATTCAAGTTCCCTAACTCATAACAAAAATGTATCTTATTTGTGTATCACTTGGCTGTAGATCCTCAAATCATCTCTGAATTGGTGCTGACACTGTCCTTCCTTCTGGAGGGTGGCTACTTTTGTTCCCCATGGCCCCTGTGTGTGTTGTAAAGTAGTCAACGCTCCAAGCTCACTCCTGTGATGGACTACAATCTCAATACAAATGAGTAAACTAAACGTGAGATTGTAGTCCATCCCGGGATTGATCTTGGAACGGTGACTACTTTACAGAATGCTGCCTGCATTCTGACCTTTCTGGAGGGTGGCTGGTTTTGTTCCCCATGGTCCCTGTGTGCGGCAGCAGCACGAGTTTGAGTGTTACCCGGTGCGGCCGCCGTGCATGTGTTATGATGTCCGTGGTGTAATGTCATTAAGCATCACTTATTTTGGTGATGGACGCCAGCAAAGAGAGAAGGAGATATTGACCAAGTGGGATCAGGTATGCCGCTGGGTGCCCCCTCTCTCTTGTGACGCTGTTGGGCTTTTGGTACATGACTGAGTAGCTGACTTTTAAGAGGGTGTGACACCGAAATGACTGTCTGTCATTTTGGTGTCACCCCCTCTCATGGTCTCACCAGGTGCGGCTTTGGTACATGACTGAGTAGCCGACTTTTAAGAGGGGGTGACACCAAAATGACTGTCTGTCATTTTGGTGTCACCCCCTCTGATGGTGTCACCCGGTGCAGGTTTTTGGCTTTAGTTCTCCTTTAAGCCTTGTTTGATTATTGGGCTACATGTACTCAGTTGTTCTCTAATTTGTTTATTGATTGATCTGATTTCTAATCTGATTTTCAATTATTGATCTGACTACTGTTCAAATATTGATCTGTTTATTGTTTGAGTTTTTTTATTAGGTAATAAGTGATTCTAATTTATGTTTAACTATTGATAAATAAATGTCTGCTCTAATATATTACTTTTCTAAGAATTGTCCTTTTTCTTCTTGTCCTTCACACATTGAAAAGTTATTACCCTCACATTACAACCACCATGGCCGTAGCCTTCTGTTTCTTTTAACCAGTCCTTAGATGTGGTGGCTGCATTATTTTTCTTTTTGTTAGGATTTATTTTCTTTATTTTCACCTGGTACTCCTGCGAGTAACACACTTCTTATCCTAGACTATGCTTTTTCCTCCACTGTATCTAGGGAGGGAGGCATGGTTGTCACCTTGTCTGCTCTCCTGATTTGGATTACAAATATGTCTTTCTCTCTTATTCCTCTGTAGGTCTACCCCAAGCTGTGGCTTAGTTTACAACCTCTGCAGCAATCTATAGGATTTAGATAAGGGATCTATACTAAAAACTGAATATCATTTTACTGTATGCAAACTGTAAAGTGAAAAACTGTGAAATGGTAGCTTCTCCCCCACGAGTTCATGAATTATAAGTTCATGCGAGGCTTATGATTCTTAATGGCTTGCTTTAGTAAAATTTTTACTGGTGATCCTTATGCATCTTTTCATGGCATGTTCAGTTTGAGTTGCCCAGATTTGTGACAGGTTTACTATTAATCTGTTGGGGACTTTTGTTGGGGGATGTTCATACCCCTGCTCTTACCTTACTAAACTGTTCTTAATGGCCACACCTTCCAGATATCTTTTCAGTGCATAATAGTTATGCACATACTTCCGGACATAGTAACCCCACCACATCTTCTGTATCTGTAAAGAAATGGATGTGATTAAAGTCAATCTGACTGCATTCAAAATGCTTACGATTATTTTTTAGAGTGCCATCACATTCCTTTTTGATTTTCAGAAAACACTAAACAGTATATAGCAGTACCCACCCCTAAAGGAGCTTACAGTCTAATGTCTCTATTATTTGTATGAATATTATTGAAAAAAAGGCATGCATACTAGATTTCACTCTTTAAGAGCATTTTAAAGTTACTTTTGAGCACATTTTAACAGATCCCAATATACAGCAATATTATATATAATTTTTCTAAAAATACCTTTAATCAGTAAAATAGAGTCCTTGAGCTCCAGTCTAGTAACTTTGCCTAGGTTGATATAATAGGGTTAACTTGCTAAAGGAGTTCAGCATCTTCAAGCTGAACGCAAGGCACACAACTTTTAAGGATAACCCGACTTTAAAAAAATAAAAATGAAAAAAAACTTTAAAAAGAATAATATAGCTTATATTATTGTCGCACAAGCCCTTCTGTAGTTTAATGTTATTTAAAAATACCTTTCCATTTAAAACTGTAGCTGCTGTAATGTTATAAATCTGTCAAAAAAATTCTATGCAATGTGGCGACCTGGAAGCGTTCTGTACATTTCTGGGGGAACGCCTCCAGAAATTTCCCTTTTTGCTTTTGTGATTGGCTGACTGATTTTCCCAGATGTCTACACTAAGGTACAAGAAAAAATTTGGCATCCCCGCAACAGGAATTTCATTATTGGTGAGATACTCCATGAGGGTTAATTTCTACTAAAGGAATGCAGACACTGCACCTTTCCTCATTACAACACAGGAAGTACACCCGCTGATTATAATGAGCCAGGAACCTCCCATTCAGGAATCAGTTTGAAAAGGGCATGCAGCAACAAACAGCTTTTTCTTCTGGAAAAAAAACAGGTAGGAAACTGCGTTTGTAAAAATCCTTGTAATGTACACAGATTACCCAGAGGCAACTGATTTTTTCTCAACAAAAGTGGCATTACTATTTAAATATATTCCTCATTACCCATGTATATTACAATTCCACTTTACCCTGACCGGAGGGACAGACGTGGAGGGGCGGGCATAGTTGGCTCTGCCTCTAGACAGGCAGAGCCAGCTGTCAATCAGCCAGCTGGGTGAATCTCGACAGTATTGTCTGGATCTGTCCCGGCTGCGGCGCTCTCACGATATAGTGGACAATAGCCTGCTATATACTGAGTTTTGGGTCACAGGAGGACATAGTATATGTCCTCTCGTGACCCAAAAAAAGAACTATGGGGAAAAAAAACATTGCCCCATAGTTCTCCTTTAAGGGCTGCAAGTTTTGAACAGGAAGTATGTGTTAACATTGTTAAAGAAAGGATAGCAGCCACAGTTCCTGTTCATATGACTACAGACATGGACCCCAATCAAGACAACATGGCGACCTGGAATAAAATAACCTGTTTGGTATTTAAAAACATTCAGCAGCTCAGGTCTGTGTCAACTAGGCATTTTTAGTTTATTATCTATGAAATCCCAAGGTCCCTTTCCTCAGAATAGCTATTTGTTTCAATCCAATTTAGGTAATATTCTGCTTAAGAATCTTCCTACCCAAGTGCTGTGCAGGCCATTTATCTACGGGCGGGAAACTTATCTGCACCTTAGTTTCTCAATTTTCCAGGCTTTACGTGTCCTTCTGTAATCAATTTACATCCTCCCCTGTATTTACCCTGACACATAATTTACTATCATCTACGCAAATTGAAACATTATTCACTGTTCTCTCCTCAATGTCGTTTGTATAATGCATGTTAAATAATAAGAGCGCCCAAATGAATGGTTGTGGAAACGTATTATATTGGCGATTGTAAAAGATGTTTTTTGCGCTAATACTACGTTAATAATACCCTTACAAATAATGGATTTTAACCTGGTTCCTCTGTCTTTGTGACTCATGATGGCCAACGTCAAACACGGATGTCACGGCTCTCCAAAAAAATCCTGATTAACAGTTTCAAATTTACCTACAGTAAGTTCATATCACTGAAAGCGCTCAAGCTTTACAAATCAGGATTTAAAGGAGAACTATTAATTACCTTTTTTTTTTTTGCTTGCCAGGTATGGTTCTTGGGCGTTAGTAGGAAAATGATTTATGCTTGAAAAATTGGGAGATAACTGCGCTGTCAGCAGATTCCCAATGTCTGTTGTGAGTATGAAAGGTCAGGTAGACCTTCAACAATGGCAGATAGTCAATTATTGTATTGGTAGACAGCTCGTCAGTGAAATCATAAGTACGTGTTTAATATTGACAAAGATGGTTGTACTGTAGTATAACTGGGAGGTGGCATTTTTTAAATTCATACCTTGGTACTGCTTTTGTCCCACCGCTAATAAACTTGAATCAGAAAGAATCTTTAGTAAGTTGTCAAAATATATAAAATATGACATCTTCAATTGCAGTTTTTTTAATTCGTTTTTAATTTTTGTTTCTTTCCAAAAGCAGGAAGAAAACCAAACTAACAGGCAAGTCATCCTTTATTTACTCTTGTCCATTTGCTCATACTACACTTATTTCTTTGTTGTGTCCTGTTTCAAAAACAGAACATGAGGTTTGGCTGGTTCTGGATTGTATACCCCCTCTTCCCATTGTCTCCTGAGCCTGTCCATCCCTGTCCATAGCCAGTCAGGTTTTGTTGTATGTTGGAAACAGGACTGAAAGCTAGAGGGACAAAGGGGTTTAGCATTACTACAACATGTGCTGCATATGCCATGACCCTGGCAGACCAGTACCAGTTCACAGTTGATGGGAAAGCGATTCCACTCAAGGGGCCAAGAGAGGCGATGGGGGAAGATCAGGCATAAATTCCCTTTTTTTTGTTCAGGCCCATATAGGGAAGAATTGATGTATTTCCTCTTATTTATCTTTGCCAAGTCACCAGAGAGCAGCTAACCCCAACCCCACGACCATTTGTGTTGCCTAAATCCATTTGTGTTGCCTAAATTTGTGTCATAAACAATGTCTCCTCTTCTCCAAACTGTCAAGAAACAGCTACAATGTGGTAAATCATTTTGTATTGAGTTAGTAGATAACAAAGAAAAGTTATTACAACTTTTAAGGCTCTTTGACCAGAACGGCTCAGGTCACCAAAGTAAAATTAAAATGTTAATCTAGGCAAAATAAATATTAATAATAAATAAATACATTTAAAAAAAATAAAATGCTGCCCGATATACAGGGAGCTCCTAACATCCTGTGCACCCTGCTGCACTGGAATCCCAGTCATGCCCAGTCATCTTTGGACTACTTTCCCGGCTGCTGCACAGCTCTGTGCTGCCAGCATATAGCGGGCATTAGCCGTCTATATGCTAACAAAGTCAGCATATACTAAAGCTGGAGTATAAATGTACTCCTGTTCCCCAATAGAGAACTGTAGCAGAAAAAAAAAAGTTTAGCTATAGTTTTCTCTTAAAGAGGAACTTTACCCATATCGTTAAAATAACAACAAACACACCTTTAGAAATGTTTAGTAATGACAATCTACAAACACATACGTCTAGCTAATTGCCGGCTTTGTATTCTTTGCATATCTTATTTCTCTTTTATTTCCCAGTCTTCTCACAGTGGCCATGCTAACTATGGGCAGATTAATACATCTCCCTTTACTTCCCTGCACTCTGGCACATGTGACTAGGACATGTGACCATGCACATCATCACAGGGGAGGAAAATGCCTTTCCCATAGATCTCGTGAGATTACGGATGAGATTTCCCAGCAATGCTCTACTGATGTAACCTTCCCAGGGTGCAACGCTTGGACACATTACATCATTTGTGGCAAAACTGGACCAGGAAGTAGATGAACTCTATTTGTAAGTAAATGAAAAACAAGTTTGTTTAGCTAATTAATGTAAGATGGTTTTAAGGCCTCATTCACACTGCCGCACGTATGCGAGCGTATACGTGCGTACGTGCGTATTGTACCATATGCAACCTATGCAAATAAATGGCTCCATACACACAGCCGCGTATAGAGCCGTATATATTTGCGTAGCGTATATATATGCGCAAAAACAGAATGGAACAGAGATGCGTCCGGGCAGCGTATCTCTGCGTATTTACGCGTGTTTACGCGCATATGCGCGTATATGTGGGTACATGCGTACAGCACATTAAAAATTTAATTACGAGTGATGCATTCTGGGATTGCATATAGTGCACGCATATACGCGCATATACGCGCTCGTATACGCGGGTATATATACGCATAGACGCGTATATACGCAATATACAATTTTGCTTGCGTTGTGTGTGAATGAGGCCTAAATCAGCACGCAGACATGCATGCTGATGTGATTTTCAGTGAAGGGGGTAAAGGTCCACTTTAATGCATACAGATCTGCATTAGTTTGTGCCTTTTCTTTCTGCGTAGAGTTCACCTTTAGATATAATGAAGGGAATTTATCAAAACTGAAGCAGATAAAATCTGGAGCAGTTGTGCATGGCAACCAATCAGCTTCTCTCTTTCACTGTCAATGGTTAACTGAACAAACTGAAGAGAGAAACTGATTGGTTGCCCTGGGCAACTGCTTCAGATTTTGTCTGCTCCAGTTTTGATAAATTCTCCTTACTGTATATATTGCTTACATTTCTACATCTAGGTGACCTTTAGAGCAGATAGAAAGTGTTGTCAGTGATTGGAGCAAAGCAGTCCTTGCCAATGATCAGCATATAACATGCACTACCTAAACACTGCGAGACTGCAAGCTCCCACAGATTACTGCTTGTTAATAATCGGGTTCTAAACAACTTCTCCCGCTTGTCAAATTGTTGATGTGTGTTCCTCATTAGTTAACAGATCAGAGTACATTGTTTTATAAAAAATATTTATTCTAAGCACTGAAACAAATGGCAAAAAGGTTACAGTATATTTAAGCCGGCTGCTGCAATGTATTTTCTTAACAAGGGATTTTTTGTTGCTGAGGTTTGATAGACTAATTACTAGCATTAAGA